CAATTTTAGGAATCAAAACCAGAATAAATGAAATGTTTTGATCGGGGTGGAGATGATTTTAACAGTTGTAGGCTACCTGTTCCTGCCGTTAAAGTCATAAAAGGACAAGATGTAAGAGTGAACCATAATACAATCCAAAATAAAAGTCGGACATTGTATCCCAAAATGCGATATATTATAAAATAGGTTATAAATACGTACCTGGAAAATTAGTGAAAAACTAATCCGAACTTGGTTTAAACATCGAATTGAATATTGGATTTCAAAGCGGTTGTGCATAAACATCAATATAGAATATAAAAATAGGAAAGTGCGCTGAATAGAAAATAATATTTTAAATAACAACCTGAAACAAAACCTCGTGGGGTCTGCTAAATACTGTAAAACGCTGAGATTTATGTGCTTACAAAAGAATGCATCATTATTTCTCGTATTGATTTAAGAACAGGACTTTTTAAAGCATTCTTAGACAATACAACAAGTATTTATTGTGTAGCATTGCATAGTTGCCCAGTGGAGTTTGGTCTGTCAGTCCAAGAGTCCCACTTTCTTCCTGACTTTTACTCTATTCATCAACTCATCACCGTTACACAAAAAGCATCGAGCTGAATCTCGACCACGACATCTGATTTCACTCTCTCTGTCACTTGGGTTTAACTTTGATGCGATTGCGATTCAAATGATGCGTTTTTCTGTCATCTTGATAAGGGGAAAGAAGATGTTTTTAATGTATACATAGACAAAATCTAAATGTTTGAAATATCAAATGAATTACAAAATATCTGTGTGTATCTATCACTTAAGTCTATATATATTATGCATTCATAAGGCAGAATGTGTTTTTCGAAATTAGAGACACCCTTAGAAGCAGCACACAAAGTGCAACATCTTTCCAATAAACACATAGGCTACTCCAACATCGTGTTCCCAAAATGTACCACTTGGTTGAACTAAAGATTGTAGTGCCAGTTCTTCAGTCTTACAAAATAGGAAGGACTTTGATCTGCCTTCACTTTGGCTGTCCTTCAACACATGGAGCAACATTATGTAAATTCTCATCAACATTTCTGACAACCAGGAGTCCTCTGACCCCTGCGCGGCATAGAGCTTGCTGGTGGTCCTTATGGTGGACCACCAGTTGATTTCATGCAATCCTCTGAGGAGATGTGCCTGTCAGAATATATGTAAAATCTAATCCGTGAAATATACGCAAAGAAAAGCATCAAAATAAGAAACCAAACGTAAAAGTTCATCCTGCAGTATGGCAGTATGGCACAGTGGATTACAATTATTCATGTGTTCCTCAAATTCAATATCACAGCACGTGAATGAGGGGATTTTTCTTAATTTATATTTTCACTTTATATAGCCTACTGCTGGGTAACTTTGAAGTGTCACCAAGGAATTATTAAAGTTTGTCATATCCTTTTATTCTTTATCTTAAAATTATCAAATAATTCCAGTGAAGTAAAAAGTACACCTATTTCCTTTCAATTGTAGTGGAAGAAGTATAACATGTATGACAACATACAAGAACAGTACATTTTCCTAAGTAAATGTAGGCCTACTAAGTTTCCAACACTGGACATAATTCAACACACATAGTTGGTTCCAATATTGTTTACATTTAATTGCATGAGGATTATAAGGACTAGGCTATTTATTATTTATGTTAGGCCTAATTGTTTTAATATGCAAACGTGTATTTCTTGCAACAATTTTGAAATAACTCTGCCAATGCCTTCAATCTCTTACCGCCCTTTTCATTTATTATACACCACCATGTCTCATTAAGCTCCTATTGAAATCAAAGGATCGCAATTTGAATATTGGCGCGACGTGAAGTGAAAGGGTGAGTCCCTGCATGCATGGGCACAAATACACACTGTCCTTGTGGTAAGGGTAAAGTATTACAACTCATATTTACAGTACTAAAAGGTGAAGTTTATGTAGGCTACATATCAAATGTACTAACACGTGTCTGGCGTGCGTAAAAGGCTGTGTTTGGTCTCGATGCGCGCCGCCCTGTGCAGTGGAGCCTGCATGGTGTCTGGGCTGCAGCAGTAAAACAATGGAGGGTGGTTTACTGCTGTCGGAGGCCCTGAGACAGACTGTGACCCACCCGCCAAAAGACTGTCTGCTTCTCACGGCCCGTGTATAACGCGTTACAACAAGTTACAAACCAACATGCCATTGTTTTCTATGACTTTGTAAGAACCAAGTAAAGTGGAAAAAATAGCTACTTATAAGTTCAATGGCGGATAAGTTAGGTTCTGATGTCGTTACCATGACAACACCCCCTTCCTTATCATATATCTTGTGATAAATGTAGCCTGTAGATGACAGAGTAGATAAATAAAATGCTGTATTTGTAAAGCTAATGAGGTGTTCTGTAGGCCTACCCGAGCTTTTCCAATAAGCTCGTCGACAAGCTTATTTCTACGTCTTACTATTTTGGGATAAAGCCTATTTCCATATCGTTTTATAATATTCAAAGTAAGACATGAAACATTGTTGTATTGTTATACAGGAGTATGTCCTATTGAAAGCCTTATCTTTAAATTCTCAAATACTTTAGTCTATAGGCTACATGTTTATGGACTCGTTTTTATGGCCATTCTTTAGTAGGCTATAGGATATTGTAATTCTGCTGATGCTTTGCAGCCCTGCTACATCTATTGTTTCTTCTATAGGTTATTTCTGTCTATTGAGGCAGTTGAACGCTCCTTTTGAAGTTTATCCCATTTTTCCACTTTATTTATAGTTTATACTTTCCAAAAAAAGAGGGGCTCAGTATATCTTACAAAGCCTTGAAGACAGATTTGTGATCTGGGGGCGATAACAAATAAACTTGAATTGTTTTTGATTAATATGTTAAGCTGTTCAAACCATAGCCAATTGCTATAGCCATATATATTTGGAAATAAGCCAATATAATGTTGACTTCTCTCACTGTAAATGCGCTGAGTTTAAATACCCATTATTGTTTGGCCCATTAGCGCACACAACGGTTTCCTGGCAACGAGGCGCGCGCAGGTGTTAATGTGAGCGCGCCTGCAGCTCCCCAGAGAGCGTGTTGGTGGAGGGTCTGCGTTGGTAATGAACTTGAGTTATCTCATCACAGCCCAGAAAACGCGTCTGGATCATACCGTGTATGGTGTGGATGTGGTTCCCACGCTGCGGCTGCACGGGGACATCCTGCAGCCCCGGTGCCCGAGGCTCTCCCCGGGTTACCATGTGCCTGAGGCCTTTAGATGTCTGACACAGGACTGGCATGGGTTTACTTTCACGCTGATGGTTATCTTGCGGTTTTGATGTAGCTAAAACCACAAAAAGCGTGAAAAGAAAAACTACAAGATATACATTTTCCATCAGTGATTCACAATGGTTTCATTTGAAGGCTTATATTAATAATATAATAACAAACTTAATTTGTATAGCACCTTTCATGCACAAAGCAGCCCCAAGTGCTTTACAGAACAAGAAGAAGACATTACAACAATATTAAAATAAACACAGAAAAGGATAAAACATCATCAGTGATCCTAATGAAATTCCCTTGAAGTAAAGCTGACAATAAATTAAAATAGGTTAAAATAAAAAATTCTAAAAAATAAAATAAAAAATGTAAAATAAAAGCAAAACAGAGAAAATACAGTAAAAAATGGACAATGATAGCAGTGAGAATTGAATGAAAGTTAACCCAAACTAAAAGCCTTATTAAAAATATAGGTTTTTAGTTTACTTTTAAACATTTCAAGGGAGTTTGCTGTTCTAAGATCCACGTTATAAATAACTATTGATAGAGGTCAATGATGTGTAAGCTAATTTATGGCTTTAATAATAATATGGGTTGCCCAGTTGTGAAAAAGAATCCCTAATCATGTAATCTTGTTATAACTTAGATGATTAATAAGGATTTGTTATTAAATGGATTTTGATCCATGCTTTCACAGAACAATCAGTGCAACAGCATTTTCACATGGCGTCCCAATGGTTAATAACTGATCAATATATGTATTAATAAAGCCACACAACTTACACACCCTCAAAGTTATTTTGAAGTATTATGGAACCCTATAACATTAGACTATTTTTCTAAGGGTGAATGGATAAACAAGTAATTTTGCAGTGTGTGTGTGTGTGTGAGGAGGGGGTCCCTATGTGAAGGCATTTCCACACATTGGTCTAGACAGATCAACATGACTGAGTTAACTTTATTAAATGCAAATGAAGAGCACTGTCTAGGGCTATGCACACAGACAAGCCTGGGCCCTTATACAATACCGTTCGAGAGGATTCTTCTTTCAGTAATTCAAAAGATTCCTGGTGTGATTATCATGATAATTAGCCAAGCCGGAGCGCCTCTCAAGGCTGTCTACACGTTTCTCTTTCAGACAGCCACATCTCTGAGATATATACTCTGGGGGAGAAGCTAAATGCTACATTTTTAACATTGAACAATCGGAAAATCACGTTTTACTGTAAAAGTGAAGTCTAAAAATATTATTTAAAGAAATGTGAGACAGTAGAAATGTAATGATTCATTATCAATCATAGCCTAAAGTGGTACCAATATGTTAGTGAGGCTGAGGTAAAGCCCAATGAACACACAATGGCTGCATTCCAAATTGAAAATATGGTGATATGATAAACATTGGCATGCAAACAAATCGCTATAAAGTCTGTATTATGTATTATATGATGCAGATGAAGCACACACATTGACTAACAACAAATAGGTATTGGAATGATGTTTGGTGGATGAATGAATTATGGTGCCACCATGCACTTCTGCATGCGCCTGTTGGGGGGCGTGAGAGACGCTGCCAGCTTCTTATTATAAATACATCGTCTTGCATAATATCAAAAATCTCAGAGGGTGGGAACAGTGTTACCTCACTGATTCACAAGGGGGTGGGACTTGGACAGCGTATATGATTGGGGACAAATGAGATGTTAAACCATTTGGAGACAACAGTGGTGGAGATGTAGCCATCCAGGCGGACTGCCCCAACTCCCTGCGATGGAGGGGGGATGTCGCGGGCTGTGGATGTGGAGGACAGCCGTGTGACGATATACGGGGAAAGAAAAAAAGGGAACCCGTTAGATTTAAACAAATGGACGGGGCCAGCGGGACGTCACGATGCGCAGTCGCCACAAAGCTCAATACGCCGCTCATGAACGCGCTCATTTGGCTCCCAGCATGCTGCACGTCCGGAGGGACCGCTGGCTACCAGGAGCTCATCCAAACCAAGTGCAACCCACCATGCTGCAAATAAGGAGGACACAGTAAGAACCCTGTTTTGTATTTTGAGTGATTTTGTTGAATATGAGTTCAAAACCTGCAGTGGGGGATTTATATTGCGAGCTCAGGCGCGTTTACGCTGCAACACACTGTGTTTTTCACCCTGTTGTGAAATAAGAAAGGATCTGCAGGCCGGCCAGATGGTTTACACTCAATCTACATTTTCTTTCGGAGAACCATGTGCTGTTCTCAGACCAGTTTGAGGTCTGTGTAAACAGAAGCATCTGAAATAACAAAGGCTGAACATCTCGTGATGGCAGCAGCACAGACGTGTAGTTTCACTTGTGGCTGCAGACACTTTAGTTTGGCACGAGATACTATGTCCAAGGGAGTCTGCTGAAATCTGAGCATCACTGTGAATCCAACCAATTTTAGCACTGAGTTTAGTGGCCTTTTCTCTGACTTGAGTCACATGTGATATTCTGTCTCACACGATCCCTTTTGATTAGTTTTTAGTCATCTTTAATTGTGTAAATGTTAATATTGTACAAAGGAATGTGCATATTGCCCTCTCTCTAAGCCTGCCCATTTAAACAGTCCTTTAAGAAAATGCCACAACAAGGACAGTTTTGTTCTACTTTATTAACCTAACTTCAAATTATGCTTTAGTGTCTTTTACATGAATTAAGAAATGTTGAATTTGAATCTTTTGAGTGATGCTGACACCAGATCAGCCATATATTGTGTTGTTAAAACAATAACACAAGTGGATATTGCACTATTGCCACATATTTAGATCCAAAACTGCAGACTTTTATTTGTATTTATTTTTGTTTTAATACTACGTCAACTCATTGTAGAAGAGTAACCATAATGTGGCTCGGGTCGGCCTGTGGCGGTGTGAGGGGGGCCTCGGGCGGTGCAACCTTTCCCAGCAGCGTTGTGTTGTGTTTTGGCCCGTTTGCTGTCAACACATTACGCGTTGAACAGGCCAAGCAAGGGGGAAAGCATGTACAAAAAAAATGGAAAAAAGAGAAAGGTGATTATAGGCTACATGAACGCAGCGGCTTCCTGCAGGATTATACAGTACGTGCCAGCATTGGAGGGTTCTTACATAAGGCCTGCTTAATCTGTGTGAGTGGGTAGAAAGACTCCATCTCATGCGTGTTTCTGTTTTATTTCTATAGTTTTTACTTTTCTATAGTAGGGCTTTTGAATACAGCGTAATTTTAGTGGAGGCGTATTCATAATTACTGCGCAAAACTGTAGCTGACAAAGTAGTGAAGAAGTTAATTTACTATATTTTTGCACTTTATTATCAAATGCAGTATTGTTTATCTTATTTGTATGAAAAGGAAACAATATTTCCAATTGAAAAGGGACTTTTTTTGCTTCATCACTGTCACAAACAAACAGCATAACTCACTCCTGCAGGGGCCAGGCCGGATTACGCAAAGGCAGAATAAATCAGGTGCTTCCCAAAATGAAGACGTGAATCGGAGCTTTATCATGACATCATGACTCTGCAGTTAGACGGAACAGGTGAATTCAGGTTTTTTTTTAAAAGACGACCATAGTTAATGACCTCACCACCAAGTCCACTTTTAAGTCTCAAGTGACAGGTGGCAGTGGATCGACACACGTCTTTAACATGTTGAAATGTGACGCTGAGAGTCTGCAGCAGCATGGAGCCTCTCTCTGCAGTCAGTGGAGCTGCAGGTGCAGGGCCCCCCTGCTGAGCAACACAAAGTGGATTAGTTTGGTGCTTTCTGTGACCCAGTAGGCACATTTCCCACCAAGGTGTTTTCCAGGAATAGAGGGAGAGAGGAGAGGAAATGCTCGTGTGTTATTCAGCGTGCATTTCTTGGATATTCCAGGTGATTTATTTCGTCATTCTTTCTTTTTCTCCCTCAGAAACTTACAAACAAAAGCGCCAGAAATGAAGACGAAACTGCTCCCAACCGCCTCTCAGGTGAATATGAATCTTCTCACTTTTTATTCGCCATGGTTTTACTATTGCTATTCAATCTGCATATATAATTAAAATCCATAGTAGGCTACAACATGTTTGTCTTGCGCTACACACATATAGAGGAAAAACCCGAGCGAGCACGCAGCAGCAGCACGCTGTGTGGAACTAATTGATTACTACAGGAAATCATTTTAAAATCCTTTCGGGATCCTTTTCGTGGACGGAGGGTTCCGCTCAGATTTAGCATCGTTTACAGCAGCCTTTCATGCTCCTGACAATCTGTTAAAGTACAACATGTTCACTGTGTTACTGTGAAGTTACCTTTAACCTAACGTGCTATAAATCCCCCCTACACAGACCATAAGGTGTTTTTATTCCTTTAGTAATCATTATTTATGTAGCCGAAATTAAAGTAAGGGGTTTCAATTTTTGGGCAATGTTGGTTTCGTTGCCTGAATCCAGGAATGCATCAGATGTACGTTTAAAGAAAGTTAAAGTTTCTACAACAGTTTTAATTTAGAGTTAGGCTATCAATCGTATTTAATATTATGTTACATTCACGTATGCTTAAAATGCAGTTAAAGTATGCAGCTGACAAAGCTCTGAATAACACACATAAAAAACAAATAGTGTTGTACCAACATAAATCCTTGTCACAGAAATTACTAACAAAAATAAGTCGAATTTTAGCATTTTAAAAACACAGATGGACTTGATTGGGAGAAATGTGTGTAGCCATTAAGGAAATTAATTTTACTTTAATCCAAATTATATTCACATACACACACTAGGAAGGATAATACATGGTATGGAGGTTAAACACTATGTGGTATTTCAAATTTATAAAAGGGAAATTCGCTCTTTGCATAGGAGGTAAACCTTTAGCTGTTGACGTGGACGCTGGACCAGAGAGCTCGTGTTTAACCGCGTGTGTGTCACAACCTGCAGACGCAGAACAGCAAAGTGCTCCCACTAATGGATGTCTTTTGGCAACAATCCAAAGCATTGTGTGCATCCTATAATTCATCCCTATCTGTGCCCTTCCAGAAAGAATATTTGAAGAAAATGTAGACTTAAAATATGGAATTATGTGTAGGCAACAATATCTTAATCTGCATTTTAGCGCATTTCTACAATGAGAGTTCTGTGTGTTTTTTTTTTCTAATTTGTGGATGAAGGCAGTGGCCTATTTTCACGATGCTGTGAGAAAGAACAGCCTCATAATGGCGTGTGTGTGTGTGTGTGTGTGTGTGTGTGTGTGTGTGTGTGTGTGTGTGTGTGTGTGTGTGTGTGTGTGTGTGTGTGTGTTAATTAGGCATCACACCTCGCTGCATTAATTGAAAGCCATGGGATTGACGTCATTCCCCTCTCACGCCAAAGGCCATTTTGTATTCAAAAGACTGTTTAAAAAAGTCAAAAATAAAAAAGGGATTTACAGTATGTACGTTTTATAAAGTGGTTGTATTTGTTTGGGTCTCTTATTTTAGTATTTGCAGATAATTATGTGATAAGGAAATGATGTGCAAGCATAAAACATTTTGACATGAATATACTCAAAATAATTAAAATCGAACAAGTATCTACTAGAACGTAATGTAAAACAAAAATGAAAGCATAAACATTTTCATAATGTAAATCAAAATAGTGATATTAAATGTTTCCACAGTATTTGAAAACATTTGATACATTTACTATATAATATAGGTTATTTTAAAATCTAATCAGTTTTTTGCTGTGAGGTGAAATAAGAGTCTTTGTATGAGACAATGGCACTCAAATGTTCTTTTGTACTGCATATTTAAAAGTGTTTGAAACGTGCAGACAAATCTTGAGGTTTTAAACTATTTATGCCAGTACTATTTGAATAATGATCAGATAAACTTCTGAGTACATGTTTATCTGCATGTACAGTTAACATACTTCCAGATTCGACATTAAGCTGACTGAATAGACTACCTTTATATATCATTATATATTAACCAAGTATTTACCTTGACTAAAATGTGTTTCGAGGGATTTCCTCCTTATATTCTGCTATATTGTAATATTTCTTACAGATCTATTTGTGTAAATTATTCCCTTCAGTGCTATTTCATCCCGAGCTTCTGATGCCCCTCATAAAGATTTTTATCGTTGTTTTCTTTAGTTCACTGGATCGTCGGCTATAATGCTTTGTTTTGAGTTCCTATAAGAACCCATTCACATTTCAGTCAAAAGACACTTAATAGCTTGGAAAATGTGTTTTCCCAGCAGTATCCCTTGTGAATCTTTAGTCATGCTTGTTTTTCATCTCATTTCACTGAGGCATTTTTAACACCATGCAATAAATCATCTGCATTAACACTCCAGATTTATGACCATTATTGTCATTACTTCAACCTCTGGAAAACATGTGCAAAACAGAGTAAAGCAGCTTTATTTGAGTGAATTTAAAAGCATTTTTCCGTGTCATTGTTTGTCCTTACAGGTGTGTCGGAGACTGTGTGTGCTGCGGACAGAGAGCTGTGTTGCAGACCGGAGGGGTTGTCTGTTATCTTTGGTTATCTAGCTGTATGAGTGATGCACATTTTTCATAAAGCTAGATAACCGAAAGTAACAAGAATCCCATTACACGCCTGCACGGAGGCAGAAGACTAAATAAAAAAAAAACATAAAAAGAACCAGGAAGGGGCTCGGACGATGGACGCTAAGCGATGATGCGAAGGTATGATGCTGTGTTACATCAGATCTGATAAAAGGGGGGGGCGGGTCTATCATCATTTGCAACACAAAAACAACTATATTTAGTATGTTACTACAGAACATGTTATTCATTATAACATGTAATGCTGCAGTGATAGGGCATAGATGTGCTGTGTGTGAATAGTGCTTTGCTCAAATATCCACTCAAAATCACAACGATTGCAAACAAAGCAATATATCCTAAAATTAATATGTACACCTTCTCCCACTAAAAATATATACAGTAGCAAAAAATGACTAATACATCTGATGATTTTAACTTCAAAATGTACTTGTATCTCCTGAAACACTAAAGTCTTCGGTGTAACTTTTATTTAACCTCAACTTCTCTCCATAAAAAAACACCCTATTGAATAAATAATTTCCTCTACTGTCCAAACATCTCACTTCAGGAGGAAATACATCAAATGAACAAAGAACCATGTTAAGGAAATTAATTACTGTGATTTAAACCCTCTTCCGAGTCTCTGCAGTGAGTGATACTAAGGGGGCGAAGGTCTTTGCTGATAGACTGCAGGGCTGTCAGTTAGGGGCCAAAACCAAGCATTGCTGAAGGAGGCCAAATTAGATAAGCAACAGTGTGATAGACAAATATTATTTCTACCACCTTCTTGTCCTACCGATCTAACAGTAGAGAGGTCAATTGTGTAATTACTTTCTCTAACTAAAGTACTTTACACAAGGAAAGGTCTATTCTTGATGCACTGCGGCCCAGAGATGCATGGCCTTTACCTAGCTGTATGTTTTTTCTTTTTTACATTTACTTTTAGATTAGAGGCCTTTCTAATCACACATCAAATCAAATCCTATTTTGGTTTACGGTTTTGTTTCTGAAAAATGTCTAATCAATGCAAGTACAAATTAGTAAAGAGATTAGCTTTAAGGAGCTACAGCCAATTTCAGAAGAAGCTGAACTATTGAGTTTAAAGTTGTAAAGTGCTTGGATAAAATGTTGAGATAAATGTAAAAAAGATGATATCCTATAGGCCTTTCCTTTTCTTCAGCCTTTCTCTCTCCATTTCACACGCACAAAAAAAGTGTACACACTGTTCATACAACAAACACACACACACACACCGCACACAGAATCTCTTTGTCTAATTGCACTTCATTTGCGTACGAATTTGGCCGCAATCGGATTCTAATTAGCCTTCATTTTGCCTTTTTAATTGAAGCCAGATAATTGGCTACATTTTGGTCTTAGCTCAGTTTTCTTGCTTGAATCTTTTTTCTTTTTTTTTAAGGGGAATCTGTTTGTTGTTGTAGTCGTTAGATGAGGCGTTAACTACACATGGTGGAGACAAAAATACACAGCCATCCCCTCCTAGTTTGAGGGATTGCATGATTCACAAAGGGATGATTATGTGCATGCAACTCTCCTGCGGTTTTAGAGAGCATGTCCTACAGAGGCAGTGGTGGTGAGAGAGGTGAAACAAAGACAGGAGCACCTCGAGAGGCAATTAGCGGCACTTTGCCATCATTTGGAGCATCTCCTCTCCAGTTGATGCTCTTCTGCAGTTGATTTTCTGCCTTTCTTGCTAAAAGAACATAACAGGCTTTGTCTCAAACAAGTCAGCAGTGTGTCATCGGTGGGCACAACGAGGCAGTGAGGAAAGATGGTGTGTGTGTCAACCCATCTCGAGTGACTGTCAGAATAAATACTATCTAAAAGTAAAAAACTGTAAAACGCTCAAGCTCCATCAACATTCAATTGCCTTTACTAAAATCACAAATGTATTCATCTTTAAAAGACCAACACATCAGTAAAGATAAGACCGTAAGACATTTACATATACTGAATCGATATTAAAACTTCTAAATTATGCTTCCCATTCATTCATCCCTAATGCCTGCAGTTTAATTTGTTATATGCAAGATTAATTAAGCCTTTTATGCCTTCAAACCCTATTTTATTGTTGGCAGGAAAAATAGGTTGAAAGCTATTTTCCTTCATTGACAATTAGCCACATGCACTTTTTGACACTGTACTTTCCCAACATGCCTCTCCTTTCTTTTGCTTTCGCCCCTCATTCATTTAATTTTATTCTTTTCGTTTTTTTCCCAGCTTGGATTCTCAGATGGTTGGTTCTGATTTGTATGCATTTGCATAATGAATGTCATTTGCATGCTCAGGGGCAGACCATACCATGAGAACGGCTGTGTTGGTTGTTTGTGTGTGTGTGTGTGTGTGTGTGTGTGTGTGTGTGTGTGTGTGTGTGTGTGTGTGTGTGTGTGTGTGTGTGTGTGTGTGTGTGTGTGTGTGTGTGTGTGTGTGTGTGTGGTGTGTGTGTGTGTGTGTGTGTGTGTGTGTGTGTGTGTGTGTGAGTGTCATGCATGGGCACATGTGTGCGGCGTATATTAAGCACATGTAAATTACACGTTTTTACACAAACAGACCATCACAGGGTTTTGTTTGTTTCGCGCCCACACTGTACACACTTTGTTCTTCCTCTCTGACATGTGTGTGTGTGTGTGTCTTGGGGTGTCCATGTGTGGGAGAATTCCTCCTCTATGTGTGGTGCATGTAGGGCACCAATCTGACAAACATGCCTCTTTCTGTCTCTCCGCCTCTCTCCATTCTGTCTTGGTAACCGTTCAGCAACATACGGAGAAGAATGAAAATACAAGAGTCACTCCTCAATCCCATAATCCTCCTCTTCTCCGACCCCTCCCTTGCCAGTTTGTCCTCCTCTCCCACACGGCAAGTCACAGTCCTGCCACCATCTTAGGTGTTAAGACTGGCACAAAATGGCAGCTGTAGCAGGGGGAACGTGGATAGCGTACACTGCACCTTCCCCCACTCCATGTTGGCCCCGATCCTTTCCGCGCCATTGGTTGCCTCAAGACAGTGTTAATTACTGCCAGTGTGTTAATTGTAGAGATCGCCCCAAGAGACGTGCAAAAAGGGATGAGATAGGAGGAAACCGTGGAGCCGGTGGCTTTTGAGTGTCGGCAAGCTGGCATTTTCGAGGGCAGCTGCGATTCGTGCGTCGCTTTCTCGGTGCCCGTCGTCACGCTGCAGACGCTGACGATCGACCATTTTGTGGATTTCCAAGACGCTCGAAAAAGTCTTCCGAGTGTTCGGCATCTGGGACTTTAATTAGATTGTTCTTTTGATTACAAAGAGTTAGAATTTTGCTCCACTAGCATTTTTTCTTTGTGTGTGGAGCATTCAAACGATATTTACGCTGCAGGCGAGTGCACACAGCTTTGTTTGATGAAGTGGGAGAAAAAAAAACACCTACATCCCTGACATTCTCAAGGAGCTGTAATTAGCAACATGGTGGTCTTCACAAATCTCTGGTTTTTATCACACTTACTGTAGTTTTCTCAGATGTGCAATACACTCCCTATTGGCTTGTAGAAGAATATTTCTTGCCACGAGTGATCAGCAACCGTCACTCATTTCTGGACTGGAGGAACGTCCTAACGTTAAGATTTTGTTGGACACAACATTGAAATCATCTAAAAAACATCAAGTTTGTTGCTGTTGAGTGAAAACCTTTAGTCTCCAACATACAGACACATTTTCTGGCCCTTTTTATGCTCTATGATAAAGCATTTTTGATGTTGAAGCCAGTTGGTTGTGAAAATTGTTTTACAAGTCTAAACTTTTAGAGTTGCATAGGATCCTTTATCATGTAGGAACACAATCTCTCACTGGCAACTTAGCCAACCTTTTAAATAGGGTAGTACGATAGCCTCCTTCGATGTGGTTTTTCGACCTGCAACTCTCACCCTGACAGCCATAAACGAGGGTCCGACGATGAGTTGAGGGAGTTAGTTAGTGAATGACTGAGGAAGACTGGAGGGAGGGGCGGGGGGGCAGACAGACAAGGAGAGGGAGGCTGCGACAGTGAGATCTCAATAGTGAGAGGCCTTCTTTGTGCTCCTGTGTGAGGTTTATCTTGGGGGGGTGCAGGGGGCACTAAGAAAGGAGGGGAAGAGGAGAGGGTGGGGATCCTATCCTGGGCCCTCAGACAAGCGGCACATTGTCCTCCCCAATGTGTGGCGGCACTTGTGGCGTAACGCCATTATTTAGGCCAGTGGAGGGGACGGGGGTCTGGAGACCAGCTTAACCAAAACGCCAATTAGAGCCGGATCGTCCTGATTAATGGACGAGGGAGATTGGTAAACAATGCCGGCCATTGTTAACATTACCCCCCCACTCCTCACACACACATACACAATCCCCTACCCCTCCGGTTTCTTTCACACAGCAGACCATACTGCCTCTGACACACACAGGCACACACACACACGCACAAAACGTGTCCGTCATCCAGTCCTGCTATTAGCATGCTGCTCTTGCATTTGTTGCAGCCTCAATGTTAAATTTGGCTTGATCTTCATTCATAATTTTCTCATAGATTAAAGTAGATTTTTTTAGATTAAAACTAAGTTTGTGACAAAAAGTTTAACATTTCGTCAAACTAAAATGTATGAAAAAAAGAAGAATTACAGTTGAAATGTTCAGAAGACATGTCCTAATGTATTTAACATGCACATAAAATTAAGCACTGCGTTTAAGTTGTACATGGAGCGATGAAACTGAGGCGTCTTTCATCAAAAGCAGCGCTGGGCTCATATGTTAATCACACACCATGCGATGCTCGGCTCTGCATTTCAATACGTCCTACTTTATTGTTTTTTTTAAGCATATGCGCTGAATAATTAGCCACCACATAGTCCAATCAGGGGCATGCCAATGTGGGGTTGCTATGGCGACCCCATCAGTTCTTACCAACCTCCCCCCCCAACTCCCTTTGCCCTCCACCCTTATGTCCCCCTCCTACTCCCCCGGCTGCCTGGCTGCAAACAGGACGGGGAAAAATAAAGCGTGGGAAAAAACACTTTGGTGGATCAGACAATGAAAGTGGGGGTGAGGAGAAGGGGGGAGAGAAGAGGGAGAAAGAGAAGGGAGGAGAGGAGAAGGAGAGGAGGAAGGAGAAGAGGAGATTAGAGGAGAGGAGGTGGCATGTTGGTGATTGGAAGAGCAGCTTGTGTCTAGACTGGCAAATACAGACATGGTGGTTCTGGAGTTTAGTGTTTTGGGGTTTGGGGGGGGACATATTTGATCTCATCTGGGATGGTTGTGTGTGTTTGTTCCCTCTGTTATTAGTGTGCCATCTATGGGCAGTGAAAGGGAGCTTACAGTAAAGGCCACTCGGAAGGCGATATACAGTAGCAGCGAGCTTTTAAATAAATTACGCAGGGATTAGCTCAGAGTCCGACAAATATTTGTGCCATTGCACAAAACCCTGATGCAATCCTCCAGGGTGGGCTGGCAATATGACCAAAATATTTTATGAAGAGATAGCATGTTTTATTGTACTATTGTAACTATGGTTTAATTTAAATAACCACATTATGCCTATAAATAAAAGAGGAAAGTACTTTTTTTATTCAGTTAAGAAGTTGAAAATTGAGAGATGCAGTGAGATCCCGGTCCTAAACTGTATGTATTTTTGCATTCTGGGGTATGGGAGAAGGTTGGAGGAGATGGTGATGTGAGTGTTGCCACCAGCTGTACAGTGGTGGTGGAGAGTACAATGTAAAAAACAAAACATTTTCCCAAATATTTCACACAAGATTTTCTGAGATATGAGTTGTGCTTGTTTTGATCTACTTGGACAGTAACATTTGTACACCTTATTTAAATGAATATCAATAAGATTTCATTGAAAGACAATACATTATCATATTCAATTATAGACCCACCTTACTAGTTGTAGTCTAACGTTTTAAGAGCTTTAAAGCATAAACAAAAAAAGGTGGAAAATGTTTTTTCTGTTCTTTACAAAAGCCGACGGTTTCTAAGTGTGTGTCATGGAGGACACGCGTGTCAGATCATTAATTGCATGTGTCGATGCTGTACTTTTGATCCTTATTTACCAAGATAATCTCTTGGGAGCTATCTCTTTTATAATGGTCTCTGCTCCTATTCTGTGCAATACATGCAGACTTTCTTTTTAGATTTGTAGGGATTCGAGCAACCTATTTGAATCAAAAACAGCACAAAATGGCCAACCATACTCTCTATTGCTCCAAATATTGCAGTAACTGTACATCCTTTGATCTTTCTAGATGAAAGTGTAGAAGATTGTAGATGAATGTTGCTGTTATGTATCTATCCCCTTATTTAATAATTGTTTTTAAACGTAAATTCTGTCTCCTCTTAAGGTTTCTCATCAGTCTGGATTTGGGAATCATCGAATCCTTGCCTCTCCGCTCCTTTGGACTGTGACTATGAGTCCAGCGACGTTCACTACACACAGGAATACATCATTAACAGCTAATATAATGGAGGACACACACTGATTCTGTGAAAGCAGGAGCGGTCTCTAACAAGCTCTTAAACTGGTAATGGATACAAAAGTGACTTCAACAGCACAACATCTTAATCTGACTGGTGAAAGAAGATTTTGATACGAGTGGACAAACTGACCTTCGGCTATTATGACGGTGAAACTGAGAGTAAAGGACGGCAAAGCGATCTCCGTGTGTGTGTGTGTGTGTGGTGTGTGTGTGTGTGTGTGTGTGTGTGTGTGTGTGTGTGTGTGTGTGTGTGTGTGTGTGTGTGTGTGTGTGTGTGTGTGTGTGTGTGTGTGTGTGTGTGTGTGTGTGTGTGTGTGTGTGTGTGTGTGTGTGTGTGTGTGTGTGTACACAATGTTTTTGTGGACTGCTCTGCACAGCTGTTCAGGAAACATCTGCACTAGATTTTCATGTAGGTCAGGGCTTAGATCACTCTATCACATGCACACACACAAATTCAGCCATTCGAGGTTTAAACAAAAAAAATTATTTTAATATTTTAAAAATATCTGCAGTGGTATTTTGAATGTTCTGTATTAATCCTGAGTATTATTAGTATTCAATAGCATTTAGTATTATTCTCCTTTAAATGAGCATATTATCTTAGGTTTAATATAGATTTTTTTCTTTTCTTTTGAACTGTCTTTGTTTATACTTATTATAGCACTTAGTAGTGTTTTTGTCTCATGTAAAATGTTGGTTGTTTGCAATCAAATTGTTGACAATCTGTGACTGGATCACCTGCAACATTTGAAATAATTTTTTTGATGAAGGGTTGTCAAAAATGTTTTATGGTCAAGATCCATCCACAAAGAATTGTATCTCAATCATTTAGATAGTTTTGACCTTTTAATTCATTATCTCATAACTATAGATTTTGTCATGTACATCTCTATATCCCTAACATGCTAAATATTTTGGCGGTTAAATCGACTTTGGCCAAAGCCATCTGTCAAATACATCACATTTCATTTGATCTTTTTTATTTTGTGTACAATATATTCAATACATTGTGATTCTATTTGTAGTGTAAGCATTTAATCTTAGTATTGCTGCAGAAAGCATTTAATGCAATCAAACCTATTTTTTGATATCTATGCAAAAGAAATGAGGGGGGGGGGGTTTGTTAAGTTTGCACTATTTGTATGAATGATTGCGCATGAATTTTATTGTTGAGTTTGCACATCAACAGCTAAATGTACGGGTTAGGGTTGTGTGGGAGAGTTGTGGTATTTTACCAATATGCACTATATGAGCACAGTTGCAATGTGTGTACTACGATGTTATTGAAGCGTGTTTGCCGTAGGTTAATTATAAACAGTGTGTTTAATGAGATGATTTAATCAGCTGTTAATTGCACAGTCAGCCTCTAGAAACTGAAATCTGGATTTATTCCACATTTCATTTGTCAAATCAGCTCCTTTGACAATGTGATATGAATAATTCAATGCATAGGAATTTGTGTTGATCTGATGTGGAACATGAATATGTGCAATAGATTTGATGCAGTTTGAATACTAGTCAGTGGGACTAATTGATTATATTACAATGCACTATGAACTGCTGTTTTAGGAGTCTTATAAGCATGATTTGCACTTGAGCTGCTGTTAATGTGCTCAATGTTTTAACTATGCAATTGTTTCTACGGCAGTTAATTGAAATCAATAAAAGTATTAATGTTTACATGAAACAGTTTGTCTAAGTGTTGATTTCTGATGTCTATGTGTTATCTGTCAGAACGCACATTTTGTTTCTCCTACACTACATCATCCAAATACTGGTGTTACAAAAAACAACAAAACTAAGTGTTGCGCATTTTGCCTGCTAAAACCTGTAAATCCATTTGAAGTCATTTGACATCGCTAACGAATCAGCTACTATGGTGTCTGAGCCTTTCTGTTCCCTTTAAGTCCCTAAATCATGTAAAGACCCTCACTGAGTTCAACAATTTAGAAACTTTGGACTTCAGTCCCAATCAATCACACATTTGAATAACTCTTAATCAACCTGTAAGTGGAGATATGTGTGGGAAGGATGTAGGTTACATTCCAACCATTGTAAAATGGATCATTTGGACTAATGATGCCAGTATGCACAACAAACAAAGATTGAGCTAAAAATCAGGGGATCTTAATGAATAAAGAAAGTTGTCTGTAAATCTAAAATAAAGATAAATAAATTACCTTCTAGCTTAATTTTAATGAAAGCACTTGGCTTATGAAGGCAGTCTGAAAAGTATTCAAGCCCTCCAATTGTAGGTTAAAAAAATCAGTTATTAATACATAAATGGCCAACGCGGTTTCAACTCAACAAGACTTACTCGAGGTATTAAGTCTTAGATAAATATACATTTGAATGTGAGCTTTATTATTATTATGTTAGTTTTCTAAAGTCATTGAGATAATAATCGTTTAGAGAAAATCTGATATTAGGACGGCCCTACTTGGTATATTTACACAATGAGAGCCAACTATGAGGATCTGCCTTCATGAACCATTTGGAGTAAACTATTTCGAAACACGTTTGAATTTGAGCCGGCTGGTTTTATTTCCTCAGGATCAGGACGAGGTTGTAGCCAACTACATTTAATGTAATTTAACTGTACAGGTTAGCAAACCCACGTTAGAAACATCCAGAGGTGGAAGCTGGAAAGCAGGGAGCAGAACAACACGCTCACATGAACACTGACTCGATCACTGATCAATGTTTACACGCGCTGTACCCTTGCAGAGTGAAATCAGAGTCACATCTGGATGTTGAGTCTCGCACGGCGCGGCACAGCTGCTCTTCAGGAGGCGCAGGACAGTGGATCCAGCTGCTGCCGTGCTGCATGCAGCATCTGGAAACATCTGTAGGGACGAGATCCTCGTTCAGCTCAAAAACAAACCGGGTTAAAGGGCTCGAGGAAAGCGGTTTCTGAGCTTTGGTTTTACGCATGAGAAGACGGATAATCGTTCATAGTGAGCAGTTGTAATCTAAGCGTGTAAAGCACAAGGCTCCTTCCATTCAATACAGCAAGAAAGAAATGATTAAGACAGCAGTGACTGAGTATTACATTATTAAGAAAGGCTTATTATTTTGATAATTGTTTTGTCTATCAGTGAAGAAACTCAAAAGTAAGAGAATGCCACACATTTATGATATTTTATTAACCCTTTTTTTTTATCATTTAAAAAAAAAGAGACGACAGTTTGGCTATCTGTGCCACTACTTTTCAAGTTGGAACAACAACAAACAAATCACAGAAAACAAATGTCAGCTTTGTAGCGATTGCAGGAAATGTGACCTTAAAAAGCAACCTCAATAACTTACTGTATATGGGCAGGCGTATCAATGAGCATTTTTAGTAAACTATGATTGGTTTCTCTGAACTTTGTAACCTTTGAGTATAATTCAAAAACTTTGCAGTTCTTGTTATTTTTGCATCATTTGTTCCACTGAACTGTTCCCATTAAGAGCATGTACACTCAACAAACCTCCTGTGTTCTCAAGTCATTTGAACAAAATTACGTCAAACAGCATGTGGACAAATCTAATAAAAAAAGATCAAACAAGCACAGTACTATCAGCTGTAGAAATGTTACAGTAACTTATGTTACAAAAACCTTATAATAGATATAATTAGTCTATTTCCAACAAGATAAACAACTTATCAACATTTGTTATTTGATTGCAGAACATTTGCAGTACATTTGAAATGATATTCTTTGAGATTTAAACCAAACTAAAATGGGACTGGCAGTGTATTAAATAAGTGTAAAATCCCACAGTTACTTATTTACCACTGTAGATCTTGTAAACAGGATAATGAGTATTGTTTTACTAACAACATAAATCCTGAGTGAATGTGAGCGGGGGCCACATGACAGGTAGGCCCTCTGCTGCAGAGCGGCCTCCAGACAGCAGGAAAGTTACGGGAGCCGTCTGATTATAATAGAATCAATAACAAAACAAAAGCTCCTGTCTGGGAGGGAAATCGTGGGAAGTGCCGCCGAGGGCCTGATTAGCATTCTGTGTTGCGAGTCCCGTGGGCCGTCTCCTGGAGCCCCCCAACCCAGAAGGGAAGAATGGCTGCGCGGGAGGGGAGAGGAGGGGAGGGCAGAGATGGAAGGGAGGTTGCAGAGGGCCAGACGGGGGATGCGGAAAGTCAAGGAAGACAGCTTCACAAAGACAAGCATGCTGCTGAGGGGGGAGAGAGAGGACGGGGGAGGAGCTGGAGGATTTGAGGCTGCCACCGTGAAATCAGCCGGTGTGAGGGAAATGGGTTCAAGTTCAACAGCAAATCCTCGTCTGCGTGATGAGGTGATGAAGACAAAATGTCTCTGGAAGAATGCCGTCTGACTTGAACCGCCTACACCTCCCCCCCGCCTCTGTTTATATCTGTTACTGCTGTATAACTCACTTTATGCTCATTTGATTTTTCTCATTCTCTAAAGCGTGAAGGTCAAATTGTTTCTAAAACTTAATTTGAACGCACCGTATTCACATGACTGACGATTACACACCGAAGTAGCGCTGCAACCAAGGACTATTTTTATTATCAATGATTCAGATTATTTCCAGTTTAATAAGATTATTCTTTGTTGTAAAAAATGCCTGTCAGCCTAAAAATATTCAATCACATAAAAAGAAAAAGACCAACAAGTACATCATTTGATCTCTAGTTCTCTGCTATGTATGATGATGCGATCTGTTACAATAATGTTCCCAGTGTTTGAATGAGACAATTGGGACTGCATTACCATTACCGATGGTAACCTGTAGCATCATTTATCTGTCATGTGCTGAAAGTCTGATTATCCGACATTTCCTAAAGATATGCACTTTTTTTATGCGTCTTCTTGATAACATATATTTCTAGATAAAAGTGGAGACCCAAGCAAAGATCATATCAGAAACACGAAATACGTTAGATGTAGGGTTTAACAGAAGTGTCTCTACTTCACTTCTCAATCATTATACAAATGTAATTGTTCAAGTTATTTGCGGTAAGACATCATTTTATTTATCTAGAGTTATGGTAAAGATTTTTTAAACAGGATTTATCATTTAACCACTTGATACATGATAATATTTCTCGAAGTAGGTTCTAAAAAATTGTGAAAAACTTGTATTTTATATAAATTCTAGCATCACAACTTGTGACTTAAGCTGCACTTAAGATACACTGCATTACAAAAAGGAAGCAAACATAAACAGTCAGCAT